GAATTATAAAATGAAAAAAAGAATCATATCCTAGTATATATAAGAATTTATTATATAACAAATTTCTTATTTCAGCAGGGAAAGAATTGATTTTTCAGAATAAATGGTAATGATACAACTAGTTATTCATCTAAATTTTCAGAGTATGTATCATCTCCGGCAAAAGAAAATAGATAGCCAAAGTAGGCCTGAAATGCAATAAGTAACAGTATAGCAAAGAAAACAGTAAATATGTAGGTAAATCTAAACAATGATTGAATATATAAAAAAAAGTATTAACAATGTCTAAATATCAAGTAAACAAAAAAGATACAATTAAAACCTAAATCAATCAAATCATATAAGTAAGAAGAGGTGATCCAGGTAAAATAATCTAAGAAGAAGGTAGAGACACTAATTAATTTTAAACTTTATTCCTAGATGTAGAAGTTCTTACACATAAGCACTCAGAGACATGTACAAGAATATTTACACCAGTATTTTTCTTAATTAAACAAAGTACCAGAAAACAATCTAAATGTTTATTATCAGTACAGTGAATAAATAAATTATGGAATAGAATATTATACAGCAGTGAAAATAAAGGAACTATAGCTACAAACATCAATATAAACAAATCTCAAAAATATTGCGCAGATAGTCACTCTCTGGCATGACAAGGTGAAAAATTCTAAGAACCCATTCCACAGTGAAATTAGGAAAAATAATTTTTTAATGCTTATAAAGTCTCTGGAAATTATTCTAAGGGCATACAGTGAATGATCAAACATCTAGTCAAGAAAACCTACTAAAATTTGGTAAGAACAGTGCAAGTCTGGTATTTGGAGAAATACCATGGCTTCTTTTCCCCCTGCCAGTTCAGTGAGATGGAAACTCCACACCAAATTGATGCTACACTAAGAAGATAGGGTTCCCTCTCCCCCAAGCTCCCAGTTGGAGAGCTATCTTCCTAGGAGGGGCAGGATGCCAAGATTTCTCATCCTGCCCTCAAGAACTGTTTAAGTTCCTGGCAAGTGCAACTCAGAACTGGGGGACCCTTCTGGGAGACTTCACTTATGGGACAGAGGCTCTACCTTGGGCACAGTAACACCAAAAACATGGGGGCCCTTCTAGTCCTTGCCTGAACTCATAAGGTTAGTGGTTCTACACCAAGACAGACAAGCCAAGATGATGTGAGGCTGCTACTCCTCTCCATCAAGCACTCAGCTCAAATGGGGGTGCCACTCAAAGAGAAATGCACCATTGTTCTCATTCCCAGCTGCAGAGATGTGGCTCAGAGATTTTGCCTGAGGAAAGAAGCATGGCTTAATACAGAAAACTCCTAATCTCTTCCCAAAGGGACTGATTTCATTTGCTTGGAGTTCAAGTCTAACAGTGCTCTCAAAGACAATAGAGTTTATGGTAAAAGACTTTGGAAGGAGATTGGTAGATTCACTAGATATATGGGCTAACCTGTAGGTTGACTAGTTTGCAGTAGAGAACAGGAGAGAAAGCTGGGAGGAGTCTTCCTGGGGTCAAATTTCCAATGTTAACTTCAGAACTATACCTTAATTGCATTAGTTTGTAGAGAAATTTATGCCCCAGGACATTATTGAAAATAACAGGCCGGGCACAGTGGCACACGCCTGTAATCCTAGCACTCAGGGAGGCTGAGGCGGGTGGATTGCTCGAGGTCAGGAGTTCGAGACCAGCCTCAGCAAGACCAAGACCCCGTCTCTACTAAAATAGAAAGAAATTAATTGGACAACTAAAAATATATAGAAAAAATTAGCCTGGCATGGTGGCGCATGCCTGTAGTCCCAGCTACTTGGGAGGCTGAGGCAGGAGGATTGCTTGAGCCCAGGAGTTTGAGGTTGTTGTGAGCGAGGCTGACGCCACAGCACTGTAGCCGAGGCAACAGAGTGAGCCTCTGCCTAAAAAAAAAAAAAAAAAAAAGAAAAAGAAAGAAAAGAAAAGAACAGTGTAATCAGCCAATAATTAGTGGAACTTAACAGCTGGGTAGCTCCGTGAAAGAGATAGTCAAAGAGACAAGCCAAAATCACTGTCATCCCAGGGTGATTGTGTGCAGGTCTAAGGCTTTGCCCCCTGGGGAGCAAGATCAAATCTCAATAGTGCAGGAAGAAATACACTTAAGTAAAATAATCCAGCCAGTCTCTAAGCAAATAAACAAGCAAATAAAAATAACAAACTCTCCTGGGAAGACAGAAACAATATCTAAAATTGCTATAATATATTATCTAAAATGTCCAGTTTTTAACAAAAACATGTGAGACAAGCAAAGAAAAAGGAAAGTATAATCCGTACACCCAAAAAAGCAGGCAACAGAAACTTAAATGAGAGCCACCACATATTAGATTTAATAGACAGAGACTTCAAAGTATCCATTATAAACATGTTCAAAGAACTAAAGGAAACCATGATTGAAAAACTAAAGGACAGCATGATGACAATGTTGCGTCAAATAGAAAATATCAATAAAGAGAAATTATTAAGAAAAAAACTAAATGAAAACTACACAGTCAAAAAGAAATCCACACATTTATGGTCAAATAATTTTTTTACAAAGGCCCCAAGAACACACATGGGGAAAGGACAGTGTCTTCAATAAATAGTGTTGCCAGTAGGCTGAGTTAGTAGGATTGCTTGAGCCCAGGAGTTTGAAGGTACAGTCAGCTATGATCACACTACTGCACTGCAGACTGGACAACAGAGTAAGAACCCATCTCTTGAAAAACGGTGGGAAAATGGGATATCCACATGCAGAAGAATGAAATTGGACCTTTATCTCACTATATACACAAAAATCAAACCAAAATGGATTAAAGACTTAAACATAATACCTGAAACTGTATAACTTCTAGAAGAAAACAGGGCAATGATTTTTTAGATATGATTCCAAAATCATAGGCAAAAAAAAGCAAAAATAGACAGGATTACATCAAACTAAAAAGGTTCTGTGTAGCAAAGGAAACAATCAACAGAGTGAAGAGACAACCTATGGAATGAGAGGAAATATTTGCAAACCATATATCTAATTAGGGGTTAATGTCCAAAATACCTAAGGAATTCTAACAACTCAATGGCAAGAAAACAAATAACCCAATTTAAAAAATGAGCAAAGGACCAGGATAGATATTTCTTGAAAGAAGACATACAAATGACCAACAGGTATATGAAAAAATGCTCACCATCACTAATCATTAGGGCAAATTAAAACCACAATGAGATATCACCTCACAACCTGTTAGATCAAAAAGATGAAAGATAATAAGTGTTGGTTGAAGATGTGGAGAAAAGGGAATCCTTTTATACTGTTGGTGGAAATGTAAATTAGTACAATCATTATAGAAAACACTACAGAGGTTCACACACAAAAAATAGAACGACCATATGATCCATCAATCCACTATGGGGTATATATCCAAAGGAAATAAAATCAATATGTTGAAGAGATATCTGAATTCCCATGTTCATTGCACATTATGCATAACATTCAAGATATGGATCAACATACATGTCCATCAACAGATGAGTAGATAAAGAAAACATGGCATACATACATAGTAAGATACTATTCAGTCTTACAAAAGAAGGAAATCCTGTCATTTGCAACATGGATGAACCCAGAGAACATTATGCTAAGTAAAATAAGCCAGGACCAGAAAGACAAATATTAGTACCACACAATCTTACTTATATGTGGAATCTAAAAAAGTCAAACTCACAGAAGCAGACAGTGGAATGGTGGTTGCCAGGACCTGGGGGTGGAGTTGGGTGGATAGGGAGATGTTGGTCAAAGGGTTACAAAGTTTCAGTTAAACAGAATGAAAAAGTTCCAGAGATCTATGTACAGCATGGTGACTATTATCAATAACAATGTATTGTATACTTGAAAATTTGCTAAGAGGGTAGACCTAAGATATTATCACAACAAAAATAATAAGTAATGTAAGGTGATAAATATGCTAATTGACTTGACTTAACTATTTCACAATAAATAAAATATTTGAAATATCATGTTCACCGTAAATATACACAATTTTTATTTTTCAACTATACCTTAATGAAAAAAATTTTAAATTGAAAAAATGTGTTGTATATATATATATATATGTGTGTATGTGTGTGTGTGTATATGTGTGTGTGTGTATATACATGATGGAATAGTATGTATCCTTTAAAAGGACAGAAATTCAGACACATGCTACAATATGTGATGAACCTTGAAGACATTAAGCTAAGCAAAATGAGCCAGTCATAAAAGGACAAATACTGTATGATTTCACTTCATGATGTACCTAGAGTAGTCAAATTCATATAGACAGAAAGTAAAATACTTGTTGCCAGGAACAGTGGGGGAAAGGAGAATGGGAAGTTATTTTTTAATGTGTACAGAGTTTCAGTTTAGGAAGATAAAAATGTTCTGAAGATGAATGCTGGTGATGGTTGTACAACAATATGAATGTACTTAATGCCACTGAACTTAAAAATGGGTCCACAAATCCCACACATGGGTATATATCCCATATAAAGATATACTATGTCATATGGATATGTAGCACTGAATCACTGTTCCCTTAGAAACAAAGTGAATGTGTACCAATAGAGCAACTGTTGAATAAACCATCAGCTATTCATAGCATAGAATACTATACAGCCAATATAGTGGACCAAAGCAAAGCAGTTGACTTGAAATAGTTTCAGTGAAGTTTCTCTGCATAGTAATTGCAAGGTCCAGAAAAATCTGGTATACCATTGTGTAAATAAATGACAAAGTCTAGTGTGTGTGTGTATATAAAGTTCATGAATATGGATATATATGGCTGGGTATATATATGTATATACTTACACATAAGTACATATGTGTGTCATTATATGAGCTTAGAGAAAAGTATAGGAAAATATCTACTAGATCATTCATATGGATTAGTGAGGGTAGAATTGGGAGTAGTTGGGGAAAGGGAGAAGAAAAGGAAATAAGCAAAACACAAAACAATTACCTTTCAAGTTTGGAGGGTTCGATTTGCTCCTTTCAGTAACAAGTCCAAAACTGAATGTTTTACATATATTTTCTGGAATACAATTTATTGTTGCAGCCACACCTACGAAAAAGTATGCTTTAACAAAACAAAATTTATTTAAGAGATGCTGTTGGCCAATTGTAACCAGAATTACAGGAAAGCCTTTATTCATTAATTCATCAAGTGCCTAAAAAAGGAAAAAAAAAAAACAAAGGGACAAAAGCAAATTAGTAAAATACTTTTTTTTAGATATTATTAGCCTCATTCCCCTTTGCAGTCCCCATTGGTTGTTGGATGAAGGGATACAGGAATAGACAGGGGTACCATAAATGGCAGGTCCATGGAGAAAGACATGTGATGTCCAAGTCATCCCAGCAGTTCAGCAATGCGGCCATCATTTCCCACTGGTTTCTGACCTGCACCTCAGGAGGCCAGCCCTGCCACATGTGGCAGGGTGAACCTGGACACCTTATCAAAATAGAGAAACTGCAAACATTCGCCAATCACCCACCTCATCCACTCCACTTTAGTATGAGTAAATCAGAGCTAGTTGGTTAGTGACAGGAAAGGAAGAATGGTAAGCTGTCTCCCTACTCAGCTTAGAGTCTATGGTCAGTTATTAGAACCCCTACTTGTATACACTCTCAACTCCCTGGCTCCTCTCCTGTGCATACACCCATTTCCTTGGCAAAATCATAGCCCCTACTCTGAAACCCAACTCTGAACCTTCTTAGGGCCTGCACCCCTGCAGTTGGGGTGGGCTGGAGAAAGTCATACAACCATGCGAGTGGCCCCACTTTAAGTACCTGACCAAACCTCAGCACTGCCTGGCAATATTCCTACATTTTGCCAGTACAGTCACTTTCCCTCTCTCCTAGACAACCATTTCACGCTCTTCCCTCCTCAAAATTCTAACTTTCCTTCCCTATCCTACCCCCTGCACCCCCAGCTAACAACCCTACTTCTTCCACTTTACTGAGAAAAGTGAAGCAGTCAGGGTACAGTGCACTGCTCATCCATGTCACACACCTGAATATCCACCCCCACAGCTCTGCCTTCCTTCTTGCTACCTAAAGCTGGCACCAACACTTAGGCCATCAACTTTGCCCCCGATGGCCTACTCAGCCATTCTCTGTAACATCATAAATGTTTCCCTCTCTACAGAAATACTTCTATCAGCACACAGCCATGCTGTCACCTCCTCCATCTTAAAAAATCAAAATGTCTCCATACCCCAAGTTCCCTCTCCACCCCAATTCTCTGCTCTCCTTTACAGCAACACTCCAGAGTTGACAATATTCCAATCTCTCTCCTTTCATTTGCTTTTAAACCCACTCCTTTATACCCAAACCCTTTGGTGGCGGTCACCAATAGCCTCTACTTGGCTAAATCCAATGATCAAGTCTCAGTCCCCATATACCATATTACTTCTAATCTAAGACACCAATATCTCATACGTGGATTAAACGGTCACATGCCACCAACTATAAAATGCCTTCTGATTTTAGAGATGTTAAATGTGAACAAAGTTCATGTTTAAGACTCAGTGAATTGTGGTACTTGATTCATCAGCAACATGTGATCCTATTGATTACTGACTCCTTCTAAAAATGCTTTCTTCTCTTGGCTTTCAGGCCACCATATTCCCTCGGTTTCCTTCCCATCCTACTGGTCACTCCTTTTCAGTCTTCTTTGCTGAGTCCTCTTCTTCTCCTGCACCTCGTGGTACTGGAGTGTCCTGGGACTCACTCCTCTTCCTTCTCCATTCCCTCCCCTTACGTGATCTTAATCAGGCTCGGGGTTTTAATTTCATTTAAAGACTGATGAAATCACAAGTTTTTCTCCTTAGTCCCAACCTCTCTTCTGAACTCAAGACTCACAGAATCAACTTCTGACTCAACTCCTCTACTTGGATGTCTAACAGACATCTCAAACTCAACAAAGCCGTATTCCTTGCCCCTAGCACCCTCCATCACCACCACACACACACACACACACACACATACACACACACTCATGCACACACGTGTGCACACACACACAAATGTAAGCTCTGTGAGGGCTGGGAATTTGTCTGTACTATTGGTTGACTGTGAAGTATTTAATGGACAGCACCAGCTCTGCCACAGTACCAAGCACACAGTGGGCTCAACAGACTAGCTAAAGCAGCAGTCCCCAAACTTTTTGGCACCAGGGACTGGTTTCATGGAAGACAATCTTCCACGGACCGAGGGTGGGGGTGTGGGAGAGGTGGTGCTGTGTTCATGTGGTGAAACGTACCCCGTTTCCTAACAGGCCACAGACCTGTACTGGGCCATGGCCCAATGGGGTTGGGGCTCACAGAGATAAAGTGATCCCTTTAAAACAAGTAGATCAGGCCTCACTCCCATTCAAAATTCCAGTTGTTCCTCATTTTGCTCAGATGAGAGCCTAAATTACAATGGCCCTACAGAAACATTCTCAATTTGACTTCTCTGACCTTATCTCCTGCTGCTACCCTGTAATTCACACAGCTCTAATCACACTAGCTAAGACATCCCTCACCGAACTAAGCAATTCTGTCTCAGGGCCTTTGCACTTGCTGCTCCCTCTTGCCAGATGGTTCTTTCTCCAGATTTCATACAGCTTGCACCTTTACCTGTTTCAGGTATGTTCATAAAGTCACTTCAGTGACAACTAATCTGATCATCCCATTTAATCTAGCCCTGTGCCCCTAATCGCCTTTATGCACTGCTGCATTTATTTTCTCCCATAGCATGGTTCTCCTTCTAACATACTATATAATTTATGTATGTATGATATGTTTTCTTGTATATCATGTTTATTACTAGTCTTGCCCATTAAAATATAAGTTCCATGAGGACTTGGAGTTTGTATTGTTGATTGACTGATGTATTTGACTGACAGTATCAGAATAGCACCTTGTCCAGAATAGGCTCTTATTAAATATTTGTTGAATTAATATAAAAGGCAGATGTTGGGGCTATCTATTCTAGAAAAGAGGGAAACTATTTGCCTCATATAAACAAAAAAAAATTCCAATATTGGGAAGATCTTGAAGCAATGTAACAGTGGGGAGTGTTGCTGTTGTTCATTCTTTTTTTGCTAGCAGCTTCTAGGAGGTGGGATTCGGAACGTGCAGAAGAGCCAGACACGGAGTGGCCCCTGAGCCACCAAACTGTTGCACTAGGAAAATGGCTGTCCCTGCCTATCTAGAGAAGAAACTTCAGATTGGTTGGGGGCTCAGAGGAGAGGAGAAGATTTCTCTTTTCTTTTCTCTCCACAGCAAACAGTGATTTAATGAGCCTTGACAATTACATACAAACACTTAAGGATCAAAAGAAGATTAATTAGTAATGCTATTTAACACTTCTTTCTCTCCCTTTATGCAAAAAAAAAAAACTATAGAGTGTAATCTGAAGAGTCTTATGCAGACCAACAGTACTGTTTTAATTAATTGGCTAATAGAAATCAGCTTTCCATGATACTGTTAGTCTCTTTTTGCATAAAAAAAATGATCAGACAGACATTCTTTTTATATTGAAAATCACTCTTTAAGGAAGTGTTTTTAGGATGCCCTGGCATTTATTACTGGAAAGAAATAAATATTCTAAAACACCCCAAGGTCTTGTAACACTAAAATGAAATATGAATATGTATTGTTATCTCCCTAATTTTCCAGTTCTTTCATTTCAGGCAATTTGTTTATAAATTAAAACAAATTTTTAGGAAAAAACAATGAATCATCTCAAGAATAATTAAAAGTGAACTTTGTGGAATAAAATGCACAATAATAGAAACATAATAAGATTACATTTAATAAAAGGTGGCTATATTCCTATCAAAATTATGGAAGACAAAAATAAAGCAATTTTGAGGAAATTTCTCTCAAAATTATTTCATTAAAAATACTTAGTAAAACAGAATGCTGGCCAGGCGCGGTGGCTCACACCTGTAATCCTGGCACTCTGGGAGGCCGAGGTGGGCGGATTGCTTGAGGTCAGGAGTTCGAAACCAGCCTGAGCAAGAACGAGACCCCTGTCTCTACTATAAATAGAAAGAAATTAATTGGCCAACTAATATATATATACACAAAAAATTAGCCTGGCATGGTGGTGCATGCCTGTAGTCCCAGCTACTTGGGAGGCTGAGGCAGCAGGATTGCTTGAGCCCAGGAGTTTGAGGTTGCTGTGAGCTAGGCTGACGCCACGGCACTCACTCTAGCCTGGGCAACAAAGTGAGACTCTGTCTCAAAAAAAAAAAAAAGACAGAATGCTGTTTCCTATCATTTCAAAAAATAAAAATTATGCTGTATCTCTCTGCATTAACTGTCACCTCGTTCTACAAACTCCTTCCCCAAAAATAACTGCCTTTAATAATGGTTGTGCTACAACTCTTCTGCTCTAACACTTCTCGGTGACAGAGTACCCATACTCCTAAGATTGTTCGAAATGATTATTTAAAGATAAAGATATTTAAATGCTACTAGGTCATCAAAGCCTTAAATCCCAATCATTCAGTGACAGTAACAAATACATTTAGACGGGCAGTCTAATCCTCTTTTTGTGAAAACTATTGAGGAAGTGAGCAGAGATGACTGACAATCTGAGAATCAGGAAGAAACAATATAAGCAAAAGCAGTATTGAACATGTGGGCTATTGCAAAATGCACAAAATCCTTTTCTTACAATCAAAGTCAGCCATTACCTTCTAGGTAATTAAGATAAATATTAAGATTAGAGATACTTGACATGGCTTAGATGAGACCTTGTTGAGCCTTGAGTGCAGTCTTTTGATAAAGGGATTTGTTCTGTGAAGTTCTGATTCAGTCAAGGGGCCACACTTGGGGATTGGGAGGCCCACACGTGGCCTTGAGGCCACAGGTTCTCCGCCCCTGTGTGGGCTATTATAAAATGTACAAAATCCTTTTCTTACAATCACAGTCAGCCATTACCTTCTAGGTAATCAAGATAAATATTAAGATTAGAGATACTTGACATGGCTATATGAGCAAACTGAATACACATCTGTAATTGAGAAATAGAAGCAGTAACTGCTATTTGCTCAACCAGAAAACCAGGTCAGTTTGATCCAACCTTACCTCTTTTCTAAGAATTTTGAGACAAAGCCCTATTATTAGAAATAGAAAAGCATATTGCATAGCAGATTTTCAAAATCAAAGATTATATCTACCAAATAGATTGAAATGACTCAAAAATTATCCACACTAAATATCCAATGTTTACAAAATATTGTTTTCCTTACCTGTATATTTTCTCTAGTGCTAAGAGCTTTTCCTGGGTCAAATGGCTGAAATGGCTGTCAAAATATAAAATATTAACAGTAGGAACAATATTATTTGAGTATTCTTTTAAATGAAACTGTTAATGTATTCTTCTAAAATTAAGTACCAATTTATTGTAAAAGCAACATTTGTTATAGTCAGAAAAGATTAGTATAGAATAAAGAAGAAAGTAAAAATCATACATCAGTCAATTTCCTCCAGGTGATCAATGCTATTATTTCTATGTGTTTCCTACCAATTTCTTTTTGATGTATTTTTAAAAATTGTGTAGAGATTTGTATTCCATTTTCACTAAACATTACATCATAATTTTCTCCCCATATCATTAATCTAATAGGCAGGTAATATTCTACCCTATGAATGTAGCATAATAACTTCTTTCTGACTGTTGTTAGGCATCTAAGGGGGCCACCTCCCACTACCACTTCACCATTCAGCCCTGGTTTAAATAACACTGATGACTATTTTTGTCTGCATTTATGATTATTGCCTTTGGATGGATTCCTAGAAGCAGAATTTCTGGGTCACAAGATAAAAATATATTGAGAAAACTGGAAGGGGCTGGCTCAATTTACACTCCCACCCACAGTGTTTGAAAATGCCAGGATTATTGCACTTTTAACAACACTCAGTATTATCACTTTAATCTTTGCCAGTTTGAGGTAAAATTGTATTACTATTTGTAATGACTACTTTTGTGGTTCTTTTCCACATTTTCTGTTAATATGTTTGGCTCTAAATGTAATGCTGCATTAGGAAACATTTAGTTCATTTGTCACAGGAAGTTGTTATATCATCAAGTAGGATGCATCCCTCTTGGTACAGAAGGCCGTTTTAAAAAGATGCCTGTTCGTAGAAGCCAATACTGACTCCTCCTCTATGCCCTCCATCACCAGGAAGTCCCCAACAGCTTTCTTGGACAGGTTGCTCACACTGGGATGATATCCCACCTCAAGCACCTGTAACCCTGTGCCTGAGGGCATTCTGTGGCCATCAGAATGTTCAGAAGAGACTACAAGTGCAGGTAACAAACCTTACCAATGAAGGACAAGAGAAATGGTCTATCCAGTCTCTCTGAGGGCCACAGTTGCCCACAGCAGTGACCTTTTCATTAATGATCTCTGGATTGGTTTTCCTCCCTTCCCCAACTTTCCCACTTGCTCCCCATAATTCCTGGAATCACTTTGCAAATGTACTATTTGTTCTCAGATCCTAGTTTCAGGATCTGCTTTTGACTCCTAAACCAATATATCACATATAGATTTTATTCAAAAAAAAAGTATTTAAATTTTTTAAGTAAGCATTTAAATATTTTTTCTTCTTTGAATATATTCTTTATTGCCCATAATACATTGAAAAGTGAGTAACTAAATCTAGGAGGACATCTTTAATGGTATAAATTAAAGAGAGTTGATAATGGGACTCTAGAGTTGGTGATAACAGCAGAATCCCAATATGAGTATAGAGTTAAAGGCATATGAAAAGTCCAATAGTAATCTGTTAAGACTTTTTCAGTTACTTCTTTTGGAAGTGAAACTTAATTCATTAATCCCTTCTTTAAATAACTAGCCTGTAGCCTAATAACATTGGCACCTATTTTAATTATAAACCCTGAATGCATTTCCTCTTTTAATTACACTTTTTAAATTCCCAATTGAAGCTGGAAAGTTGCAAATTAACTTCGAGAATATAAAATCTGAAATCAGAACCCACTGGGAGATAATTCACCTACACATTTATCTTATGAAAACTAGTCAATAAAAATGAAGTTTGGAATTTACATGAAAAAAATAGTTTCAGACCTTTTGTCTTTTTGATTTGGTGAAAACAGTGGCCATTGAAAACTTTGTTGTTTCTCACTCCACCCAACTGGTTTCTCCTTCCTTCTCATCCTCCTGAACTCTCTCACTGAACCGTAAGCTCCAGGAAAGCAATAACTCTATTTGTCTTTTTACCATTCTATCCTCATGCCTGAAGAGGCACCTGTATTCAGTAAGCACTTTAAAAATAGTTTTCAACAAATTAAAGTATAATTTTAATAACAAAATGCAAACCATTTAGAATAGAGAAAAGCTGTTGACTCAGAAGTAAGAAAATACTGCTAATTTAACCCAGGTAAGAAGATGAATTAGTTCATGCCACAGAAACTAAAACAAATAGCCTCTTCTGTGTGCGTGCGTGTGTGTGTGTGTGTGTGTGTGTGTGTATACTCCCCCACATATACACATACACAGGGATGTATATACATACGTGCACACACATACACATGTATCCTATTGCCTAAGGAACGTTCCTCTTAGGATGTTTTGTGGATAGCCTCACACTTACCCTATTACAATAAATTATAATGCTGTAATAGTCACGGTGAAATAATGAACATATATTATATGTAAATATAATGCCAACTTATGCAAGTGATTTTCAAGACAAATAGCTCATTCCCCAGTTTCTTTCAAGTCCTCCAAATTTGAACCCAACCAGCATGGGTTACATCTGTCAGCCTCACTCCTCACACACCATCTCCCCAGGCAAACTGACTCACTGCCTCCTTGTTCCCTTTTAGTTGGCCTAGGAGGGTCCGAGCATCTGCCTGAAGCAAGATCACCCAGTGATTCCCAGATCACCGTGAAAACCAAAGCAGAGGAAAATAACAGCTCATTCTGATTTAATTTATGCATTAAATGTCAACTCCGGTATTCATTTTCAAGGATTCTTCAATTATCCAGTTTACAAATAAAAATTAAGCAAGCCAGCTAAAACTATCTCCTAAAATCAAAAACAATGAGACGAAATAGAGGGATGTTCTTTCCTCACAGAAATCAGAAGAAATTTGAACAGCACATTCTTAACTCTTATCAAAAAGACCCAAATAAGATATGAGGAAAGACAATTTTGATTAAGAACATTAACCAGAAATGATAAGATCAGATCCCAAAGTCTAAGAGGTAGTGGCTGACAAAATGTGTCTAATGAGACTGTCCATGGTAACTATGGCAGCATCTCTGAGCCAAAATTCAACTGCAAAGATCTACTCCAAAGCCACATCTCTTCCCCTAGGACATACTTCCCTCCCAGTTAAACGTAGCCTAGTAAAAACCTGATGTTAGTTGTAACCAGGCTTACCAAAGAGGTCTGGAATACCGGAGACTTGTAAATATAATTCCGTGGGAGTATATTCCTACACTTTAGGAATGTAACCTTCAAAGATAAAAAAATGACTTTAATCAAATTGCAGGTTACCTTCATTTTTGTGGTAGCTTTATAGCCAGCAGGTACTGAGCAAGGCATATTTTTTCCATAAAAAATATGGATTATCTCATTAAAGGCTTCAGCAAATAATCCCAAATCTACAAGGACTTCTATCTATAAAGGAAAATATGAGATTTTTAATTAAACCATTTGTTTCACTTATAAAATAAAAACTTTTAGAGAAAATCATCAAATTCCTGAGATCCAGAATTTCTGCTAAATGTTGGTAATGCATTACGAATTAATGTTTACTAGATACGAGTGGATGGAGATGCATGAGTTTGTGCGTATGCTCATTTACATGTGCAATGGACCACGGAGCTAACAAACAGCAGCAGGCGGCTGCTCAAAACCATGGACATTTATTCAGATGTTGCTTACTTCATCAGAGTCAAACAGATAAAAATATAGCAGTTGAAAAGTTTTAAAAAATTATTATTTTGTTCCCATTATGAATTATGGCTTACAAGAAAAACAAAAACACTCCAGATGTTTTCCAACACTCTGAGAAAAGTCAAACCAAGAGACAATTTCACAATGTATCAACATAGAGACAACTATCAATTTTCTTATCCATAACTATTAGACACTGTCAATTTTAAAGACATACATTTAACAATATTTGATTGATCACTATACATTTCATGTGGTTTATTTTTAATACAATTCAGTAGGAGTATCAATCAGGAAATTATAGGAAGAAAAGAAAAGTTCCCATTTCAATTCATTCATTCATTCTACATGTTTACTGAGCATGTCCTATGCACCAAACTCTCTTGGAGGGTACATTCCATTGGGATGTATATTTAGCTAAATGTAAGTGACACATAAAGACATAAATGGCATGAAAAGGCTTAGAGGATGCTAACAAAAGCTATTTTCAAGATTTTGGTTGGGAAGGAATTCTCAGTGGAGGAGACCTTACAGAGATGATTTGGGAATGACATTAAGGGACATGAACATTCTGCTGAGGGAACCTGCATACAAAGGTCATGGGGCAGGAGCTCAGGAGCTCAGAGAGGAGGGGAGGAAGGTAAGGAGGTGAGTATAAATGGTGGCCAGGGAGGCTGTCAAGTGGAGCCTGAAGACCAGAGTAAGGATTTTACATTTTATTCTCTGTGTGGTAAGAAATTCTTGGAGGGTTTCGAACAAAACAGGGCCCTAACCTGACTTATGTTTTGAAAGCATCTAGTGACTTTGTTGAGAATAGAGAAGGGTAAATGTGGAAGCAGGGAATAAAATATAAAACTGGATTAAGATATAGCTATATAATATAAAAAAGGAAATCACTGGGGCACTTTAGAAACTTAACAGTGTAATCTCTTGCTGTTTGTCAAAAAACATCACTGTCTGCTGTTTCCTGACTGACTCTTCTGTCTTCCCACACACTGGTCCCTGTTTATTTCAGAAGGGTCAGGCAAACTCAGCTCACACAGGCTGCCATTCCTTCCTCTGTACAATCCATCTGTTGCCCTTTTTCATTGCTTCTGTCAGAACGCTAGTCTGGTTTTTCAATCCTGCTATGCCAGTAAGATCCCACTGCTATCTCACTCTGCTCCCGACACTGTTACTATATAACAAATGTGATCATGTCACTCTCTTGATCAAAATTCTACCGTGTTTCCCCAAAAATAAGACAGGGTCTTATATTTATTTATCCCCAAGAAGACCCCCTAGGGCTTATTTTCAGAAGATGTGTTATTTTTTTAAGTACGGTACAACAATCTACATTTATTCAAATATAGTTAAGTCATCTTCTTCTGGAACATCATCATAACTCTCCAAATCCCGAATACCATCCTGAATTTCTTGCAACTCTATTTCCTTTAGAACCATTGGCCCCAATCTCTCATGGCGAGCAATAGAGCTCTCATGGAGCAGATGAGAAGGGCTGCTCATCTTCTTTACCGCTCCGTGATGAAACGCATGGGTTGTGCAGATACGCTGCGTAGTCATGTCCATCACTAGGTCTTATTTTCTGGGTAGGGCCTATATTCTGCAAATGCTTAGAAATTCTGCTAGGGCTTATTTTATGGGTAGGTCTTATTTTTAGGGAAACATGGTATAACTAGGCCAGGCGAGGTGGCTCACGCCTGTAATCCTAGCACTCTGGGAGGCCGAGGCGGGAAGATTGCTTGAGCCCAGAAATTTGAGGTTGCAATGAGATATGATGATGCCACTGCACGTCAGCATGGACGATAGAGCGAGACTCTGACTCAAAAAAAAAATTCTATAACAAATCCACTCACCAACCTAAGGCTCCAGAAAGAGTCCATAGTTCTTCACTGGCTTTTGCACTACTCTAGGACAAAAACAGTTACCAACTGCTAACAATACAATAGAAAATAGTCATCTAAACAAAAATTTTGTTCCAGATTATGCCTTTTGGTGTCCCTCTGGGTCTCCTTCTGACAAGTTGTTAATGGTCATTGTGACCCTCTCATGCTCCTTGCCTCTTAATGACAGCCCAGAATGCACCTGTTTCCCAGTTCTGACTCCTCAATCTCCTCCTTTCTCCCATGGCTCAACCTCCACATTTGGAATTTAAGACTGAGTCCCTGGTATTCCCCATGTCATGGCTCTCTGGCATTCTCCTGCTACCTTCTACAATATCCCACTCAAAACTTCCACTCCAGCATAACTGGACCAACCCTGCACCTAAACAAGTCACTACTTCCTCACCTCTGTATCTTTCACACTTCTGTCTCCCAGGAATGTCCCCTTCCTCCTCTCTCTTGCTCAGTTAGTTACACTCTTTTGAAATCTAAATCTTACCTACTTGGTGAAACCTAAAGATGTAAAGCCATTTTTCCCTCTTTCAAACTCCTAGAGTCTTAGTAGTCATCACACTCATGTGGAAATAATCAAACAGCAGGTGCATGCACATTGTCTTGGGTGTAGGTCCTGTCTCTCTTCCCAGTTTTCACTTCATTATAAGCAAGGACCATGGGTTACATATCTTTTATTTGAGTTACTAACATGGTGCTTTTAAATAGGAGGTACTCAATAAATATTGTTTTAGAGTTAAATCAATAAATATCTACCAAGTATTTTTTAGGTAAGTTTCCACTAAACACTAAAGAGAGTATGGACAACAGGCTCTTGGTAAATGTCTGTAGATTTAAAATTCAATTCAATTATGAAGTGCTGAGTATCAAGGATGTGAACTTATCCTCCAGACACTATAGGGAATTAAAAGATGAATAAGATACAGGTCCTACCCTCAAGAATTTTTCAATATTGAAGAGAGCATAGTTTAAACACAGAGAGAGAGTGCAAGAGTGAGACAGAGAGAGCGAGAGAGAGATGTTATATGCAGGGTTTTTTTCCAAGTGTTATTTGGAATTCAAAATCAAGAGAACTCATAAGGAGAGTTCAGTAACTCAGAGAGGGTGATCCAGAAATTTTCATGATCAATAACAAATTATTTATTCTCAGTTTAAAATATATTAATAGTCATCACCAGAATTCCTCTTAGGAATTTCTTCATTCAGAAATAGAATTTAATGGACTATTTGGGTCTGAAAACATGGGCCCAAGGACAGGGTCTAGATGGGAAGAACAATTCAAAGAGAAGTCTAATTTTCCCTCATTATAAAATGGGAGGGATCTGGGGAAGAAAGATAGAGGGTATTTCCAAAAAAGGGAAGAAAGGATTAAGCCAGTGGTGTGCTGGAGCCCACTCACTCCCAACGGCAAGAGCTGACTATGCACATCTTGTCCCAATTCCATCTTCAGTGACACCTAGTTGGTAGCTCGAAGTCAACCATTGTGGGAGTATTTACACCATGGATGGAAATTGCAAATGCTACAAATCCAAGTTTTTTTTGGGGGGGAGGGGGTTAGAGGCAATTGTGAAACATTTACTATCACATAGCTCACTACATCATTAGAGGGGAGGCCAAGAAATATTTTAAGTTCCAGAATGCCTAATATTCTATTTTAAACTGTTTGTTTTCCCTCAACCTAAATGTCCCTATCTTCCCAATCTTTAGTAAGGTCCACTATAGAAAGAAAGGCCTCGGGCAAACACATGCTGTGTGTGTTTACGTGTGAGTAAATGTGTGGGTACCCGTGTGTTTGTAAAATACAGAATAGGGTTGAATTTTATATTAAAGTTTAGGAGATGCAGAACAGCGAGCAAATTTTCTGAATGTTGAGGTGAATCATGTACAAAACAAGTTCAACAAAAGTGGGAACATGCAACATGGGTGACCAGGAAAGTGGGCAGAGAGAATGAGGTACTTGAGGTTCCCACACCACATGGTGTTCAAGCCCATTTCACATGAATGAAAGAAACTTAACTGACTTCTAGGTTACAGAATTTACTGTAATTTAGTGTCTATCTGGTCTTATTAATTCAATTGCCTACACATTAAAAAAATACTTCTGTATCATGATATCCATAAAGGTCCTTAGGAATAAATTCATATAACTTCAGAAAACTGGCTCATTTGGGCTCCACCAGGAAGCCAATCTCTCAGAAGTGGTGATTTCCATGGTGCCTGGTGTTGGGTAAACCTTGTTTCCATGTGCAGCTGTTCCCTACTTTCCTGTGGCCAAAGCACAAAATGATCTAAATCAGGGGTCCTCAAACTTTTTAAACAGGGGGCCAGTTTACTGCCCCTCAAACCATTGGAGGGCTGGACTATAGTTTTAAAAAAAACTACGAACAAATTCCTATGTACACTGCACATATTTTATTTTGAAGTAAAAAAACAAATGGGCAAAAACACCTGCATGTGACCCGTGGGTCGTACTTTGAAGACGCCTGATCTAAACCTTTCTAACTGGTTCTTTCTCTTTATTATACTGATGACTAAGTTATTTTTATACCAGTATAACACCACATTATTATCATCTTATTATGAGTATTGGAATCAAATTAATGTGTGACAATATCCTTAATAGTTCAAGAATATCAAATGTCTTAAAAGCAACATACCTTGAGGATTCTTGCTTCTATATTTCTCACTAGGTCTTGGCAAATTACAGAAACAAAATATTGGTATAATGCAAGGAGTGGCAGAACCTACCAGGAGAAAAACACTTTGTTTTAAAATATATTTTATGAAGTTAATAACTTAATAATCAAATTTAGCCAGACATTAAATCTAGGAAATATTATATAAAATATTGATTGATTTTCCAGACTAGGAGACTATACTGTTTGGTATAAGTGAAATGATCTGCCTAGCATATGCTTTATAATTTTATCAGAATTTTAAGATGCTATCAGATACTTATAGTTCCAAGCAGATGCCATTTGGTACCCCAAATCTAGGTTTCAAATCCCTTTAAGCATGAAAAAGTTAAAACCCAATTGATTATCTTCCTTTAAAAAAATTAACTCAACGTAAACACATGAATCACTGTGGCCTATGGAAAAATTATAGCAAATGAGCAATCAAATTAATGTAAAATTTAAAGCAAAGTAACTCAATCCATGTTCCCTAACTAGCTCCTACTTATTAATTTCGATGTCTGCTGCTATGTGTCTTCAATTAGGATTTTACTGCCAGCAAAAAAATAATTGTAACATGCCTATTGTGTGTTAGGCACTGATGAATGAGAACAAAATCTAAGTTCTTGTCTTTTCATAGCACATATTCTACTGATTAAAATCCAAGCTTAGTCTCTACATAATATTTTTACTTTTCTAGAATTATTAATAACCCAAAACTCAATTGTTCTTGAAGTCTTATGAATATATGTGAAGGCTTAGAGAATATTGATATATTTCAATTGACCTAGCCACTATCCATCCCCAAAAAATGTTGAGGGCACAGTTTTCCCAGACATTGGAACAGCTCCTGATCTCAACTCAAATCTGAAACTCAGTTCCTGCAACTGTATCCTACCCTGCCAAAGGGAGATGGAGTATTGGGATCCCCAATAGATTATTTAGCAATCTATTTCCCACAGTTCCATAGCTTTGGGTCCCATAGCAAATTTTACATTTTACCCAAATCTCCTTAGCCATTGGGCTTCTTCTAGAGAAGGTTAATGTAATACAAAGTGGAAACTGTTTACTTCTTGCAAATTCAGCTGGGGAATCTCTAGTTGTCAGTCACTGGCAGCTGCTAATAGCAACTGCTTTTTAAAAGGATTAGAACTGGTCTTAAATGATGTCAAACATAATGCCATACATTTTTATACAATTATTCCCTGCAAACATAACACAATACATTTTTCTACAATTAATGCAGCACAAAATTAAGAGTTGGCAATTACCTTTGCGATTGTTTCTTTAGTGAGAAATGGAAACATATCATTTTATTGCTGCCAATTACTCAATTATTCAGAAAAACAATCTCAGTTTTTTAAGCTTTAGAGAAAAAAAGTTTTACTTCTTTTCCAATGCAGTGATATGTATTATATATGAATATGACTAGGCAGCTAAAGGTTACCCAGAGGATAGACCCATTTTCTCAATCCAGAAATGAATCCCTTTAACAGTAAGAAAAGCACCATTTTGCTATTTTATTAATAAACAATTTCTTGCAAAATCTGCCAAGTATTAAAAACATTTATCAACTTATTCACTTTAACATATGGTTTTATAATTTAACCAATCACATCAGGGGGCAATAAATATTTCCAGTATGAATAGAAAGTTGAATTTATAAGAACAAACATGCCAAGAGAATTTAAAAATATGGAAAATAAAAGAAAGTAGTATTAAAATTATGGAGGAAGGGGAAAGAAGCAGAAAAGGAGAAAGAATAAATATTCAGAAGCAAACGCAAAAAAGAGAGAGAGAGAGAGAGAGAGAGAGAGAGAGAGAGAGAGAGAGAGAGATGCCAAGCCAAAAGATAGGGAAAAGAGCATAAATGAAGAAAATAGACAAAATAAAGTAAAAGAAGAAGACACAAAACCCACCAAAAGTTAGAATAAACTAATTTATTTTTAAAATGCAACCAACTTCAAATTTATGATATATACTGTGATTTCTTTCCTCAAAGGAAAGGAAAGCTATATTTGGATTTTTGGATTTCCTAGAACAGTAAGAAATGTCTGTCTTTTTGTCTCAACAGTTAGAATCTGTTGTTCTCTGAGATACACCCATGATAGAGAAAAAGACAAGAGACACAAAGATAAATCTATTGCAATAAAGAAATGCTCTCATAGTTTTGGTATTGACATGAAATGGAACAACTTAAGGCAGTGAGTTACAAGTGCACTAGATTCCCACATTTGATATCAGTGACACACTGATCAATTTCACCACATATCTCAAATACATATATATATACATATATATGTATATAAATAATAGAGTAGAAAGAGAACAAATCAAATAGACATTGCTTTTGTATCCAAATGCAAAGAAAGAATATTAATCAATACATTTTATTTTGAAGCCTAGATAAGAATCTTAAATAGAGAGAGTTTAAAAGTTAAACAAGAACTGACCAAAAGAACATTAACAATATTTGAAAAGTATGAGTTTAGTGTGGTAAAAATACCACAGTAATTAAGACTTGCTGATTTTATAAATTACTTACTAATAGATTTTGCTTAACAAAATGTAGTTCACGTATAACGTAATACAGACTTGCAACTACAGAGCAGATGTCAGCCCTGTGTCTATCCGAGAAAAGGTGGATGCCTGGGAGAAGCTGAGTGATTTCATACTGAGCATAGGATCGTTCAGCTTTGGGATGCGGAAGCGTGGTTCTAAGCAAACCCTGAAAATGAGAAAAAGGTGAAATAAAGAGCTATGAATTTCATTTTCAACAATGAAACAAAAAAAGTACATGTATTACTTTCTAAAGTGTTTAGTGCATACCTAGCACATGCACTCTGTAATAAATGGTACTTATCATTTATATCAGGCATCCTCAAACTACGGCCCACAGGCCACATGGGGCCCACCGAGGACATTTATCCAGCCCGCTTGGTGTTTTTGCCGCAGCTGCCTGTCCTGCTTAGCAGCCGACTTGTCCCGGACCCACAGTGTGCATGTGTGGAATGTGCGCTGCACTCTCCAACAGCCCTCCAACGGTCTGAGGGACAGTGAATTGGCCCCCTGTTTAAAAAGTTTGAGGACCCCTGATTTATATTATGATCATTATAGGTTCCAAGTGCTTTTATCACTCAAGATGGGCTTTTTAAATTCCATGGTAGTTAGATACTTACTATTTTCAAAGGAATTATCATTATATTAAATTATCACTTGTTGAGAGTCAATTTTATGTTGAGCACTGCTAGTAAATACTTTATAAACATTATCTCATTTAATGTTCATTTAACCCACCATTACAAGGAAGGATTATTATCTCACAATTGATACAATTGAGGCTTAAACAACTAACTTATCTGCAGTCACAACAGTCACAACAGCTAACAATGGCAGAAAGAAGATTCAAAGACACATCTATTTAACTCAAAAATCTATGTTCTTTCCACTATACTAAGCCATAAGTAGAGGAAATGATAACTTATAAGTCTAAATCAGACAGAGGTAATTCTAAATTTACAACTGCATTAAATGAAAACATGACTTGTATAAGTTGACTAATATTTCTTGGGTAATTTATATGACCAATGTGTACTAGATAATGGGGAAACAAGACGAATAGACAAAACCAAATTTTACATTCAGGAGTGCTTCTTTTGTTCTCTTAGTAATTAACATTTTCTGATGACAAATATATTATAAAGTTATTCTAATGTATATATCAGGAAAGAATTTTAATCAGATTTCTTATTGAGATTATGAAGCATCCTACTCTAAAATACTATGTAGTTATTGAAATTTTTAATTTCACAGATTTGCTTTAAAATCATAGAAAGAATTAATAGGCTATTAAAATAAATTCCACCAGCTAACTTCGATTTTAGGTATGGTATGACAAAGAAATTCTGTCCACATTATACAAAAAGTTAAATAATTTTAATTTTTATTATTTTTTTTATTTTGCATTTCAGAATATCATGGGGGTACAAATGTTTTGGTTACATGGATTGATTTTGTACCACTTGAGTCAAAGTTATAAGTGTTCCCATCACCCTGATAGTGTACATTGTACCCGTTAAGGATGATTTCACTCATCCTCTCCTGCCCACTCCCACCTGCTTGATTTCCATTGAGTTTTACTTCCATCTGTACACATAAGTGCTGATCAGTTAATTCCAATTCAATAGTGAGTATATGTGGTGTCTGTTTTTCCATTCTTGCAATAATTAATTAAGGAGAATAGTCTCCAATTCCATCCAGATTGTTACAAAGTATAAAAATTCATTATTTTATAGCTGAATAGTACTCCATGGTATACATATACCACTGAAGATCCCAATCCCTTCTGACTTGTAAGGTCTCAGCTGAGAAGTCTGCAGTTAGCCTGATGGTAACTGCAGTTAGCCTGATGGTTTTCCCTGGTACATTACCTGATGTTTTCACCTAATGGCTCAAAGGAGTTCCTCCTTCACATTAACTTTGGCAAGTCTGATGACTATATGTCATGGTGATAGCCTCTTTGCAATGAATCTCCCAGATGTTTGTTGAGCTTCTTGTACCTGGATATCTAAATTTCTAGGAAGACTAGGGAAGTTTTTCTCAATTATTCCCTCAACTAGGTTTTCCAACCCTTGTGTGTTTTTTTCTTCACCCTCAGGAATGTCTATAATTCTTATGTTTGGGCTCTTTACCTAATCTCACGTTTCTTGTAGGCTTTGTTCATTCCTCTTAATTCTGTGTTCTCTTTGATTGACTTGTTTAATCCAAAGGTGTCGTCTTCAAGCTCTGAGATTCTTTCTTCTGCCTGGTCTAGTCTATTCTTAATACTTTCCATCATGTTTTGTATTTCCTTGAATGAATTTTTCATTTCCAGCAGTTCTATTTGATTTTTTTTAATAATTAGATTTCTTTAGTGAATTTTTCATTGTGAGTGTGTGTGTGTGTGTGTGTGTGTGTGTGTGTGTGTGTGTGTGCTGGTTTTCCATTTTCTTTTGTATTTCATTGAGCTTACTTACAATCCATATTTGGAATTCTTTATCTATAATTTCGATATTCTGATTTTGGTTGGTATCCATTGCTAGAGAGTGGTGTTCCCTTTTAGGGGTGTCCCTTTGCTCTTATTCTTCATACTTCCAAAGTTCTTTCACTGATGCCTTCTATCTGGAGCAGCTATTGCTTCTTATTTTTGGATTTTCTTTTGCTTAGAAAATGGCACATCCAGTTTAATCTCTAAGATTGTAGGTGGTGCTTGTGGGTAAGAGTCAACCACATCCTGTATGATTGAGTCTGTAAATGCTGTAAAGGGTATGTAAATTGACCTCCCTGTCAGTAGGTGCTGCTTGCCAGAAGGAACAAGCAGCAATATTGTTTTGGGGGCCTATGACTGGCTCTAGTCCCCTCAGGAGAAGCACCCGAATGCCCCAGGTAGTAGGGGGAGCCCTGGAAATTCAGGTGAGTACTATTCTCTGCCACAGCAGAGGCAAATATGGAAGTGCAGCAGGGTGGGGCTGGGTTGGGTGAGCACACCCTCAGACTCCACAACAGCTGGCAAGGTATCTGTTTCAATAGGGGTCAAAGGTCTGCTCCCAGCTTCTGGGCAAAGTAGTGGCCACACCCAACCAAAGGTCTACTTGTCGATGTGGGTCCATCTAGAGATTCACAATCTGCCATTGTGGAGTGTGGCTTGCTCCTCTCCATCCTCCCCTACTCCATAGCTTCCCCCAGCATCTCCCAGCAGACAGGAGCTCAAGGCAGCCAAACTCCCCTACAACTGTGATGCAGGCCAGGAGGTCCTGCCCCACATCTCAGCCTGAACTGAAAGTGCAGCCATCCTGTTGGGGTGAGGGGTGACCCATGAGAACACTGCAGCTAGGATCCACACTGCACTCTCCTCTTCAATCTTCCCATGTCCCCTGAGTAAACACAAATCTCCCCTCTGCACCCCCAAGCAACATGATCAAGACCTGGGGTTACAGGATATGCCCAGTGGGCCTGTCCCTGGGTTTTGGAAGATCAATCCCTGACTATGTCAGGGAGAAGTGTGCTATTTGCTATCTCAAGTTGCCCACAGGGTGCCCAAGCAGATTCAATGTCCTTCTGCCTCAGAGGCATGCCCCATTCTGATGGAGTCACCCCACAAGCAGCAGCACAGAGGGCCAGTGGGCAGGGAGCTCACAGTCTTGAGCACCCCTCAGTCCATTGTAGGACCCCAAGAGGAAAGGTCTGAGTGGAAGCCTTGGTGTGGTGGCTCAATTGTCTCTTGGCAGCTGTGGGTGGGGGAGGGAAAGGAGGGTAAAAGAGCCTGGATGGAGGAAAGTTAGCACTTTGGTCATGTTCATCCCTTTCTCCAGGAGGCTGCCCACTAAGCCTCCCAGAATGTCCATACACTGGAGTCATGCAGATCACAAAGGACCCACTGGACCCGTGCCTCCTGCGGTCTGGGCTGGAGTTGGGAAGTGTATGTGTGGGAATGGGCAAGACAAAACCCGAGGAGCTTAAGCCCCCTGGGGAGGACAAAGGCACATAATGGGTAGAGAAGCAATATGGCTCTAGCCATCCCAGCTCAGGTCTGTGGAGATGGGAGGCACCCCAGGGGGACTGGGATCCTGGTGCCCTGTCCACAAGAAGCCCCCAGCTCACTGGTGGCAAGAGCCTTTGAGCTCATGTGGGCAGAAAGTGTCTCCAGCAGCTTCAGAACCTGCTGACTATTAGAGACATGAGGTAGGGAGAAACTAACGGCTCCACCTACTCTTCTCACTGGACTCCAAGCCTCTTGGGGATTGATCTCTGCCAATACCTTATTCCTTCGTGTTCTGCTCTGCAACTTCTTTCCCTGGAGTCTCCTGAAGGTTCTGGCACCCTTCCCTCAGACCCATACCAGATCTATGTTTGTTTGCTTGTTTTTTCTCTTTCATCTAAAACTTCTTCTTACTGAGAGACTGTGGTAGCTGGTGTCTCTGGTCAGCCATCTTGCCTCTCTCCCCTCTAAATATTGTTTAAAATCACATCTTTTATAAAACATCAACAGCATTATTTTAAAGAACAAGGAGAATCAGAAAGTAAAGAATGCAATGTAAGGAGGCAGAGTCCAGTTGTCTCTTCCACCTCTTCCCTTTAAAGCACAGGCAAGAGGTATATAGAACATAAGTAAATTGAAAAGTCTAGCCTTAAATGAAAAGAATTCTTTCCCAAAGAACTTAACTATTTATATTTCATAAGCTATCAGACTCCTCTGATATACAGAACAAGGGTGTCCATCCTTCAAAGTAAGTAAAACTTTAAGCAGACTGCAAAGGCCCCTGGCTATATCTCAGAATCTCAAAATGTCTTATATCTCAGATAAAAAGCTCTTTTCTTCTTCAGTGAAGTCAAACCAAAATTCTGAAAACTGTAAACATGCCTTTTCTGTAGTCTTCAATGTATTTTCACCTTCATTATAAGATATATTTTATATGATGTAACCAAGAAAAATTTAATTTAGAGCCAAGGTAATCTAAGGCAACCATTTGGAGTCAAACAGACTGCCTTCACATTGGTTACTAGTACCATGATCTTACTAAAGACAGGAGACTCAGTTTCTCTATCTGTAAAACTCCCTCTTCTGTAGTCTACAGGAGAAAACTAACTCTGCTGAATATTAAAGGTAAAGGTGCCACAGAGGGGTTCAGGCAGCCAAGAAAGATGGGTTTGTGATATTTAATCAAGGTTCATGCTATTTTCTTACATGTGAGTTTTATTAATATGACAAACTACTGTACTTTTTTTTTTACTGATTGAATGTCTACTCTAGAAAAAGATGTATAAAGTTACCTGAAAGAGCAATGCAGACAAAATGCAACAGTTGGTTCTTTTTTTAACATTCGATGTCTGAATAAATCTAAATAAGTATAAGAAAAACAAACTGATTAGCAGACAATTTTCCAAAAATATTTTGATATAAATGTATCTTTAGACACATGTCTAGAATTTTTAAAATATAAGAAAAAATATATAAGAAGATAAAAAAATCTATCTATAATCCTTCCACCTAAACATGATTACTAATATAGCAACAATTCCTTCTATATTTTTTCTATGTGTAGTTATACACACATAGAAACACATATATACATACATATTAAAACTATGATTATACAATACATACTATTTTATAAACAAATTTGTCATTCATGGACATAATGAACTATATCATAATTTTAAAGAACTTTAGTATTTCATCATATGAATGTATCATAATATAAAAATATTAATCTCCATTTTAGTTTTTTCCAATGCTGAGGTAAACATTGTTATACCTACATTTTTGAGCACTTTTATCAGCTGGATAAGTCCCTAAAAGCGTAATTTTTTGGTAAAAGTAAGTGTAAAATTAAAGCATTTGATGAATGTGGTTAAATAATTTCCCCAAAAGACTGAAGCAATGTATGTTCTCTACAGCTGTATATTATGGAGCTATTCACAACATTAAGTATCTCCACCAAAGATTAATGTCTCTCCATTTACTACTGTCTCATTTTATGTCCCTTAGAAGAGTTTGAGTTTTCTTTATATGGGTCTTAAAATTCACATTTGCAACTATAAGCCACATTACCTCCCCCTAAGTCTTACTTAGATAAAGCCAGTCGGCTTCACTGTATTAATAGCAATGCCTATCTGAGTTCAGCCTCTCTGGGTAGATATTCAAGTGTGGTATATTTCAGTGGGGAGAAGTTTCCTCTACTCATGGAGTCCAGGAAAACAGCCAAAGCCCTTGTAGAATCACATCTCCTGTTGAAGTCAGACTTCCAGCTGGATAACCAGGAAATGATTTTTCTGTTCATTGAAAATTGATAGGTAATAATTCCAGAGGCTCGGAAAAGCTGAGGTGCCCTTTAGCAGGAATGTGATAGTTGTTCCTTTCCCAGCTGTGAACCTTCCTTGGCCACCAACCTCTACTAAGTCATAAGCCCAGACTTGTTTAGGGAGAGTGTGTGCATCTAAGGATGAGTTCCATCTCAGGAGTGCAAACTATCAAACTTGACAGAGGTTTAAATATGTGATGTTTAATCCTTTCAAACTGGTACTTTCTTAATTCCCCTGACCAAAGATGCTAATATTCTAAAAACAAGGTGATTACTAGCCAGGAAGAATTAACTCTTTTTTTTTACTTTGCTCTACAGCTCAAAATGCTACCCAGGTTTTCCCCCACCACTCCCTATAGATAAGTTAAAGAAATAACTGGAGAGGTGAAGGAAACCTGTGCCTCTATACCTGCCATACCTTATAATTTCTCATGTTAATTAAATATTTAAGGTATTTGTGAGTGCTAGCTGTGTATAAGCCACTGTTATAGACGTTCATATAAGTTATGTGTGATAGGCTCAATAATGCCCCCAAAGATATTCATGTTCTAATCCCCAGCACCTATGTATATATGACCTTACAAGGCAAAAAGGACTTTGCAGGTGTGATTAAATTAAAGAACTTGAGATGGGGAAGATTATCCTGGATTATGAAAATGGTCCTTATAAGAGAAAGGCAGGAGGGTGAGAGTCAGAGAAGGAGATGTGAGGATGGAAGCATAGGGGAGAATGAGAGTGAGAAAGAAACACACTAGGCTGTTGGTCTTGAAGCCTAGAAGCCTAGAAGATGGGGCTACAAAAATTGGTTTCACTGATCAACACCTAACAGGACATATAGGAATAACATTTATCGAGCATCAAGCAGATGGGAGGGGGGAGGAGGGGATGGGCATATACATAATGAATGTGATGCATGCCATCTGGGGGATGGACATGCTTGAAGCTCAGACTCCAGGGGGAAGGTAACACATGTAACCTAGACATTTGTACCCCCATAATATGCTGAAATAAAACTTAAAAAAAGATGGGGCTATGAGAGCCAAGGCCTGCAGGAGGCCTCTGGAAGCTGGAAAAGACAAGGAAATAGATTCTTCCCTAGGGCCTCCAGAGGAAACACAGCCATGCTGGCACTGATTTTAGGCTTTCTGAGATAATAAATTTATGCTGTTTAAGCCACCAAATTTGTGGTGATTTTTTACAGTAGCAATAGGACACAAATACAGTATGTGTTGCAGACCAAATGTATCCCCTCAAAATTCATATGTTGAATTCTTAACCCCCAGTAACCTCAGAATGTGACTGTACTTGGAGATAAGTTCTTTCAAGAGGTAATTAAGTTAAAATGAGGTCGTGGGGTGGACCCTAATCCTATATGATTGATGTTCTTATGAGAAGAGGAGATAAGGACATGGACATGCTCAAAGGGAAGACCAAGTGAGGGAACAGTGAGAAGACAGCCATCAACAGGTCAAGGTGAGAGGCCTCAGAAAAAATCAATCAAACCCCTTGATCTTGGACTTCTGGCCTCCAGAATCATGAGATAACAAATTTCTATTGTTTAGGCCAGCCAGTCTGTGGTACGTTGTTATAGCCGCACCAGCAAACTGATACAATATGTCATATAATTCTTACCACTCTGGCTTACAGATGAGGACACTGAGGCTCAGAGATAATGCAGACCTTGCTGGGAGGCATGGGTTACTAGGATGCTCTTGAACTAGGCCCAAGTCAGCTACCTCCACACTATTATTCTTGCTCCCATACTAACTGTTCCTTCACTCATTTGTTCATTCAACAAGTAGTTATTGAACTCCAATTCCAGGTCAGGCACTTGTCTCCCATCAGAGAATAAAGCAAACACCTGTGCCCATGTGGTGCTCCTATTTTGGTGGGTGGGAGGTGTTACGTGAAGATGGTCATAAACAATAAACATCACAAATAACCCTGTATGATATGAACATGACTGCCCAAGAATCCAGTGTGTGAGAGGCATGACACTCTCCAGGGCACAGGTGAGCACCCACAAAGGAAGCTATTAGCTTTGATGCAGATCATTCTGTCCTCATACTCACTGTGCTATCTTTGCTGATATGACCGCTCCTTGCAAACACCCCCAAATGCCAACTTTGGACAGAAACTCCTCACTGTAGTCTTTGACACCTGGAGGTGAAGAGCTGTTGGTGGCATTGGTGAGTGACGTGCCAAACTCTTTCCATGTCTGTAGCACATCTGGTTTTCTGAATATGTCATCAAGAGCTTGACACCAACACTTAAAAGCAGCCCTAAAACAGAAACAGAGCACCAGGCAGTGTGTTTTCTGAGTCCTTTTAGTAAATCTATTTTCCAGAAGGGGAAGCAAATACACTGCAGAAACATGTCGACTGACATATCAGAGAATAAATCTATCCATTCATTGTTCATACGGTTTCTCTCAGGTAGTATCTGATGAATAAAATGGAGCAATGTAGTATTACTGAAGAACTAAAATTTATGAAGCACAACTTTGTTTCACAATAATTAAAAATTTTTTCAAACAAACAAACAAGTTTGCCCTTGTTCTATTGACTCTTAAAAATCTACCTTTTCTTTTCTGCGAAGACAAGAAGACTTCCAAGAGTATGCAGTGCCTGAACTTTAAGACTTCTTTGATTGCTGGCTTGAAGAACATCTATATTTGTAGTCAAGTAAAAGAACAAATGTCAGTTCCTGGAAAAATATTTTCCTTATATTTGCAAGAATATTTTAAACTGCATAACTCCTTAACTGTGTAGATTGTAATAAGCCAAATTCAAGCTAATAGTGCCTTCAAATGTCATGCAATGTATACACGCAGAGAGAAAGCAAACGGTGCTCTGTTTGAACACAGAGCTGTGAGAGATTGGATCTAACAAGTGGTAACAAGGAGGCTTCATGGAGAAAGTGGGATAAAAGTCAGGCAAGGAGAGATAGTGGAGAAGAGAAGCTCAGAAAAGGCATGTGAGGGGAGAAAAAGGATGGGTATACATGAATGCTCAGTATGACTGCAGCATGCTTTTCTGGAGAGGGTGAATCAGGAGTATGAAGAGGGAGGAAGCGGTCAGATGCTGGAGTCCTCTGAATGCCGCATGAAGAAACTTGGGCATTAGCCCATAGCAGATAGGGAGGCTCAACGGATTTGTTTTTTAGCAGAGATGTGACAAGATCACAGAATATACCTGAATTTACCTGAATGCAGAAAACATACCTTTAATATCACATGAATTTTTTTTTGTTGTTTTTCTAATAAATGCATGGGTTCAGGAATGTACAGCAAAAAAATCCAATTGACATAGCAGTGGTTTCTAATGAGGGCAGTACTGTCTCCTAGAGGGTATTTTAGAAATCTGAGGAAGGGTTTCATTAGTTGTCAAGTGGGGCATCTCTTGGTAATTCATAAGACAAGACCAAAGATACTAGATGACCTGCAAGGCACAGAAACTTCCTCTACAGTGAAAGAAAAGCTGAGAAACCTGTTTATAACTAACTGAGTCTAACATCTAACTTCATTTTGCACATAAAAAGGGCATTTTTGCATGATTTCTAAATACCCTGAATTTTCCAGAAATGCAACCAATGCAGTACTTTGTTTTGTTCAGAATTTTACCAAGAATTATTTGCCATTTTAAAAAATCATGTCATGAAACTTAACAATGCTGATAGCACTTGGGGCACCAATACAACACACCCATAGCGGTCTGTATTTGTAGCTGTCACATTCATGGTGATTCTACATCCTAAATATAAGCATCTGACTACTTCTTTATACCTTCTAATGCTTGAGCCTTTACACACTAACACACAGATTCTTTTATTATAAAGTGATTTTGTTTCATTTTTCCTCCATTTTATATTTTGGCTTCATAATGACTTTTTTCAAAATAACATGTATAAGAAGAATATATGAAGTATAAATTTTATTTCAGGAAGTAAAGAGGAAATTATAAAATAGGACCTTGGATCTATAAGATGGGTTGAAAATACACTGCAGAATTTGTAGAAAAGCCAACTCAAAAAAAAGACAAAGAGAATGGAATCAGCTGGGACCAGAGCAAACAGGCATCATCCCCACCCCCACAGGGGTTCACAGTTCCAGTTAAAGAGGGATAGACAAAGGGTGACCTAGACTCTCACAATGGTGACAGCCAGGATAGGAGAGAGGGTATCAAAGGGGCTGGTAGCATCTTCTGTTTCCAACTATTCTGTCACTGCCTACAAGTGTGTGATGAATAGACTGTGGTTCAAGCTCTTGTATCCTACCTTTAAAGGTAACATTTCAGGACCAGATGCAATCTCAGCATTAATGAGGAAGGTCATATTGAAAACATAATGGACAAATCTTACCAATAGTTTGATAAAAAGAAGAAATCACGAGTCCAAGTTGTGAATAGGGAAGTTTGGTCTTCTCCACTGAGCTAAAAACTCTGAAGTGCTCCTGAGAAAGGTCAGGGGGTATGGACATATGCATCTCTTCTGTCCCCAGGCAAAATTCCACCTTTCCAGAAGTGAATTTGGAATTGGTTACTCCTTTCTCTCCTAAGTTCATGGAAAAAATAATAAAAAAGAAATGTAAAATGAAGAAAGATGGGAATTTGGTGGGAGGAAAAAGGTACAGGAAATGGAAAGGGAACTGTAAAAGAAAGGAAATGGAAGTGGAAAAAGAAAAGGAAATGGAAAGAGTCTGTATATAGCTGCAACTTATTTGTAGTTTGAGGGACACGATTTCCTTAAACTTAACATCTGGGATTGTTTCTGAAGATCCCAGGTGGTGTAGATATCCACGCTATTTCATAGAACACTATGGAGGGGCAGTCAGCCAGAAAGCGAACGCTGAGATTATGCTTTGCTTCTCTGGGACTGGTGAGTTTGTCTTTTTAAAATAGCTTCCAAGAGTAGGATGCTAGTTTGCCTCTGGGGCAGAAACCTCTGGGATAGAAACAATACAGAGGTAGTTCTGGCCTGAGACAGAAAAAAATGGGAAAGAGCCTGTCTCTTTATAAGATCAGAGAACACACAGGGAACAAAAGAAAAAATATCTTAGAGGAAGTACATAGTCAAAAGAAGCAGAGAGAGAACTAATATGGATTTTGAAGTCTATGGCCAGAGGACTAGGGATATTGAGAATACTGAAAATATTTTGGTACCAGCTGAGATTCAGAGTGAGTTGTTGCAAACCATTCTTAGGAACTGTATTTGATTTTTTTTTTTTTATTCATGCCCTTATCCATTGTTAATGTATGGAGTAACTGAAAAAGGTGAACATGATGTGGAGAGATAATTTTATATAATGTGAGTCTACAGACAATACAACCCAAAAGTATGGATACATATCAGAGAAAGTGTTTTTTTGGGGGGGAGAGGGTAAGGGATGGCAACAACAATAACAAATAAATAAATAAATGAATAAAACTCTGCCAGTGGTTATTTTTTTAAAAATGGTCAAATTTCTAAAAGATCAGTTCAGTGGAAATTAGTATCTTAATTAGGTATAAGTTGAAATCTATTTTAATAACTTTAGAATATAATTATTTTAAGTTTATTTAAGTCTATTATCTAAGGTAATTCTTATTATTCTGATAAATTTGACCAGCAAGGATCATAAATACAAATTAGGATTTAAAAAAATTTTAAATAACCTAAGTACAGATATTTCAGGATTTTTTCTAGCCTAAATTTGAATGTACCCTCTTTCTGTGAACCATTCAAAGCCCTGCTTTGGTTGAGTTCACAAACTGATAATGTGGAGAAGGGAGAAAACAAATAAATGTAATGCAACGAGATCTCTAAGATCAAAATCTATGGTATTAATAACACATCTTGTTGGTTCTTATTTGTAAATGTTTCCATTTCTTTGACACTGATAAAGGAGTATTTTGGTAAAAGGTTCTAGTTAATCCAGTATGATTCAATCCACCTATTTATGAAAGTAAAAAAAAAAAAAAAAACACAGTACCATATCTGCAAAGAAAACTGTATGACTATGAATGTACAGAATCAAAAAATTAATGAATATTATTTTCATATCTACTGTACTCAAGGGATTTTGTTTTCATATCTATTGCACTTAAGAGATTTTGCTAGTTTTACAGAAAGCATAAAAGTAGGTGAGTGAGACAGTGCCTTGGTTGGAGTAAAGTGTAAGAGAGAAGAGGGAAGATCGTGAGGGCAGAATGTGGACCGTCATGTGAGGTGAAAACCCCACATGAATAAAGACTCGGGTACAGAACCAGCATTTTACCTTGTGTCTGTGCGAGAAATAACAAAAGCAACTTTCTGCTGTGCCGCGCCGATCTGTTATGATATTTGGATTTTTCCAGGGTTTCCCTAAAACATCTCAAGGTGTCTGACACATCCACGGGCACACAGACGAGCTGTTTGGCTCGAATGCACTCTGAAAGGAAAGGGAGAAGGAACGTTGGGGATGAAATGCTGCATCGAGCCAAGCTAGTAGCAGGCGAGTTTCTAATTCAGAGAATTTCTTGGTCCCAATCTAAAGCTGCTAAATTCAAAGCCCCTAGATCTGCAGCTGGTGTTTCAACATTCGGATCAATTTTTTTTTTTTTTTTAACTTTTGGTATATTTGAAAGTTCCTTTCAAAAAAAAAACCTTAGAAAACTTTTGATTCTTATGAAATGCAAATAACTTTAGATCTTGCCAATTTTCCTTATGAAGCCTCCTACTTTTTCTTTTGCTGATCATAAAAAATGAAATAATCTACTCCTTTTCTGCAGCCTCTTCAAAGCAAAGGTATCTTGGGAAAGAGAAGAAAGGAGGAAACAAAGAAAATTGAAGATAAGCAACTACTCTCTGCAGGGAAGGAAAAGACAGGTTCCAAACATTGGAGGGCAAAGAGGAAAGGAAGGGGGGGGCCTAGGAGTGGGTATGGAACTGACCGGCTGTCCTGAAAAGTTCCTAGAAAGGGGAGATGGTGGGAGAGAGTTGCTGTGAGGTCTCTGGAGAGTGAGTGGTGGTCCCAGGAAGAAGGCTGCAGATTTGCTGCATACCCTATGAAAAATGGGCCCAAGAAAGAGAAGAATCAAAGCTTGCAGGATTGAAAAACAAAAGAATTGATTTCTTCAACAAGTTGAACCAGTGGAATGTCCTCTTTAAAATCTAAGGCCTCCTGAATATAGTAATTTACAAGGTAATGAAGCTGTAAGAGGTTAAGAGGCATGACCCTTGTCCTCAAAAAGTTCACAATCCTGCTTAAGAAATGGGATACTCCAACACTGGAATACTGGAGTCACTTTTGCAGGGAGTGCCTGGTTACAAGCTGAAATGAGGGGAAAATGGAAGACAGAGATCAGCATAGGCAGGAAAATGTGAATAAGAAAGACTTTGTGACAGAGAAGATAAACCAGCTATGTCTTAGAGGATAGGGAAAATTGATTAGGAAGAAGAGGCAAGGGGCTTTAGATAAGTAGAATAAGAATAGGAGTAACTAAAAATTATTTATGAGTTTCACTATGTCAGGAACTATTCTAAATAGCTTACTGTGATTTTTCATTGAAACCTAAAAACAACCATAAGAGGTATGCACCATTATTATCCTGTTCCTCATTTCACAGATGAGAAAAATAAGGCTTCCCTTAGGATCCAGAACTAGTTTGTGCAAGCAGAGGTACAGAAGCAGTAGTGAAGGTGGTGAGTTCAAGGCACAGGGAGATGAGGTGGCCAGTCCTGGAGAACAAAGAGAGTTTGCCAGAGTGCTGAGCCTCACCGAGTAACTGGGCTTCATCCTCTTTAACGGGAAGCCCAGGAAGGGTTTTGACAGAAAGACTCCTTCAAAAAGAGGCAGGGCTCTGACAGAAAGATATTTTAGAAAGAGTTAGCCAACAGTTGTCTTCATAACAGACTGCTATGGAAAGAAGCTGGTGGCTGGGACTGTTGGACCACAACAACACAGATACTCTGCGATTCAATGAGACTAATGTTGGTAGCCATGGAAACGAGGAGGGACCACAGGGAACATTCCCATGTTAGAAGCAACAGGAATGGTTAATTGGCTATGTGGTAAAAAAGACAAGGGGGAGAATCACCTCTTCTCCTGTCTTTTCAGGGCCAATGATTCGCTTCCCATCTCACTGAAAAAAAAAAAAAAAGAAGCAATCCAAGAAGATTCCCTCAAGACCCCCAACCCCATACCTCCAGCACCTGTGCCCGACTACACCTCCAGGCTCTCACTCTAGCAATTCTCTTCCATCTCCAAATCACCAATTGTCCCCTCTGCTGAATCATTCCCAGCAACACAATTTGCTGTTATCTCTCCTATCCTTAAAAAACTAACATACAAAAAAACATACAAACAAAACCTCTCTCTTAACCCTACTCTCTCCCCAAGCTACCACCCTATTTCTCTGCTCCACTTTGCATGAAAATGCCTCAAAAAGTTGTCTATATGCATTTTTTCCTATTCTCTCTGGAACTCATGTAAATCAGGCTTTGTCCCTCTCTTCCTTAAAGGTGTCCTTCTCCAACCCTTTAATAATCACTCCTTCCTCCCCTTTAATAATTCACCCCATGGACTCAAACTCTTAGCATTGGAGCCCCAGGGATCAGTCCTTAGGCTGACTCTCTTTTCTTCTTAATTTACACTCACTGCATTAACCATCTTACCCTCATGCTTTTAAATGTTATCCATGTCCTGGTGGCTCCCAAATTTATATCTCTGGCCCCAAATCTCTTGAAATTCAGACCCATCTATCCAACGACCTACTCTGCTGTGTGTCCAACAGACAGCTCCAAACCTAACATATCCCAAACTGATTTCCAAATCTTACCCTAAACCTGCTTCTCTCATAGTCTTTTTCCATCTTATTAAAGGATGGCTCCATTTTTCCAGCTGCTCTGGCCAGAAGCTAGAATCACCTTCAACTCCTCTTCTTCTCTCATACCCCAAATCAAACCAGCATATCAAATCCTGTTGGTCCTCCCTTCAGAAGATGGCCAGGACCTCACCCCCTCTCACCAGCCTTACTCTCCACTGCCACTCGCATGATGTTGCAAGATCTCTTCATCGCCTTCTGAGGTATGGCAATTGCCCTCCTAAATGGCCTCCCTGTTTCCACCCAGGCCACTCCCACTATGTGCTCTCAGCACAGCAGCCAAAGGGCTCCTTTTAAAATGTAAGTCATCCCCTATCACTCCTCTATCCAAAGCCCCCAACAGCTCCCTCATCACCTAGAGCAGACATCAAAGCTCTCAGAGTAGACGACAGGGCCCCACATGAGCTGGCTCCTCCTGCCTGCTCTGCTGCTCCCCTTCCTGATCTCTCCTCCCACACCCTGCAGGCTTCACCTCAGGGTCTTGGCGCCAGTGGTTCACTTTGGGCCCAGGGCAGTCTTCCCTCAGATATCTCCAGGCCTTGCTTCATTAGCTTCTGAGGTTATTGCTGAACTATTAACTTCTCAGTGAGGCCTTCCTTCTTCCTTGATCACCCTATTCAATATGATAGCACCCCATCCTCCTTTGGGGCTCTGGTTTCTCTAAAGCACTCAGCACCTTCTGCTATACTGTGTGGCTGACTTGTTTACAGGTGTCTCCCTCCACTAGAATGCAGATGCCATGAGGGCAGGGACTTTTGTCCATTTTGTCCACTGTTATATACCCAGCACCATTAACGGTACCTGTTACATGGTATGTGCTTAATAAGTATTTGTTAAATAAATGATTGGCTATAAGTTTTCAGAGCTAAATGGCTGGGATAAACTTTATTAATAATAATTTCAATTGATCCTCACAGCACCTTAAAAACTGTAAGGGGTAGTAGATATCACTCACACGTCACAAAGGAGGAAAAGTTAAGTTGATGAATATTACTTGTTTTCAGCCCTTAGAATAGATAAGAGGGAGAATGTTCAAGGCCAGTGCCTTTTCTAGATGACTCACCAAGGGCAACAAATCTCAGGTAACAGGCAATGACTCAGATCTAAGGTCTCCTGATTTGGGCACAGAGATGTTTTGTGAATAGGACAGGAATAAGTCTGAGAAAAGTTAATGAGGTTTCCCTTGTGAGCTTAGGGAGCAAGAAGGCCCTGATGGAGTAAGACAGGGGTTACATGCTGTGGCCACAGAGACGACATCTCTCAATATACCCCAATGTCAAACCAAACTCTAGCTGAACCAGGAACATGGCTGCATTGACAGAAATACTTGTTCTCCTGAAAGTTCAGTCCTGACACAATAACCTACCACACATTTAAGAGAATCAAACACGTAGACCAAAGTAGCTCCTAATAACTCCATGGGAGCTCTCACTCCTCTACCTTACCAATTTCACTCTCCTGTCTACTCCATCCTATCCCCACCATCTTGCCCCCACAATGTCCCTCTCCTCTAAGCCATACCCAATCATGCATGACCCCAGACAAGGCATGCCCCCCCTCCTCACTCCTGCACCCTTATGCACAACACCCTGATTTCTGCTCAGTTTTTCTATTTTTCTTGCAATAACTCATAAATTTGGCTTTTATCTTTTTCTCCTTAGAGAGTGAGATCAGGGACAGCCAGGGCAAGTGTCTTCATCCGTTTGGGCTGCTATAACAAGCTACCACAGGCTGAGTGGTTTGTAAGCAACAGAAGTTTATTTCTCACACCTGTGGGGGCTGGAAGTCTCACATCAGGGACCAGCATGGTAGAGTTCTGGTGAGGGCTCTCCTCCTGGCTTGCAGATGGTTTCCTTCTCATTGGGGCCTCCCTCCCATAGCAGAAAGAGAGCTAGAGAACTCCCTGGAGTCTCTTTTATAAAGACACTAATCCCATTCATGAGGTCCACTTTCATAACCTACATTATCTCCTAAATCCCCCACCTCCTAATACTATCACACTGGGGGTTAGGATTTCAACATATGTATTTTGGGGGCCACAAATATTCAGCCTATAACAGCAAACAAAAGAAAAAGTGGAAAGTGGGAAGCCCCCGCATATTAATAATATGAGACACTTTCTCTAGACCTTAGTTTTAAATATCTTTTAAAACTGGGATGATAATTGGGACCTCCCTGCTCCCTGGGTTCACAAGGACTCCAGGTTTTTTTTCCCTCAACATTTCTCAGGCTCATTCCCATCCTAATCTCAGAGCATCCCTGTACCCCAAACTGGGATGACTCAGAGGGTTATTGTTTTAACCTGTGTGTGGAAGTGTCTAGCATAGTGCCTGCCATGGAGTAAGCATTCAGTAGACGAAGGGTCACATTATGACTGCTAGTAATATACTTTAAAATATCTATTGAGCACTCACAAGTACTAGGCACCATGCCGGGCACTGAGGAAATACAAGTGAACAAAACAGACATCAGTCCCTGCCCCCACAAAGCTTACATTTTAAAATAACATCTGAAAAATCTTGTTTAGAATAAAAATAAAGTCTGAATAAAACCATCCTGCTACTTT